GTAGGCCCTGTGCCTTGAGGGTTGCGCCCCAACTGTATCTGAATGAGGCTGCGAATCTCGTCCAGGGTCTGCATTCTTTCGAAATGTCCAGAAGGCCGTGAAAATGTCTTTGAGGCACGRCCTRAGTTCCTTTCAACCAACTGGCGCGTGGTAACTGTCTRAACCCCAAATATGAATTTGACAGATAAGGGCCTTTTGTAAAATGTTAGGCCCGCCTTCACTTAGGGCGGGCACAGACGCAAGTGGGGCCCCGTAGGCCTTCCGAGGAAACGGATCCTCGCATTCCCTCCTCCTTTACTTCGATAGTCCTCTGAGAAGTTCATTGATCGCATTCGTAATTGCTTCCCCAGAATCGCAACTTCCGGGAAGTTCAGTATTCAACGGTGAACTCCCGGACCTCAGATGATCTCAACGGATACCTAATCTTGCCATCACTCAAAAATTTGTTAATTATCGTTATCACATTATTGTTTTATTGATTATTATTAAGAATTATTAATTCGTTATTTATCATTAAATAAACTTTATTGATTAAATAATTCGTTATTATTTTCTTATTACGAGTTTTTGAGTTGTTGTGGGGAAATTTATTTTTTTTCTATTTTGATTAGGTGTCTAAGTCCATATTGGGAAAGGGACTGTATGTAAATTGCTTGACTCTCCCGACCCCTGTTCCCACTCTCCCTACCCTCCCCGTATTTTGTGACCACAGGAACTTCTCAAGTACCACATCAGCTCAGGCTGATGTCGACGGAACAGGACACCGGGGCACTGCCTCGACGCAGTGCCAGGCTCGCAGTTCGTAGTCGTTCTGTGGTACCTCCACGGTCTAAGTATCAGCAACAGCGACTCAACAGGCGGAGGACTCCAGCGGCATCAAGTACAGCTACGGTAGTACCAGTCACCACCGGAGTTCTTCCCGCATGTCCGGTCCAAGGGGCCAGTGAGCCGTTGTCAGCTTACCTTCACCGGGTACAAACATTCATGGATGTCGTAGCTACCGCAAAGGCATAGCAGGCGGCAGCAGAGGCGGAACGTCAGCGGCTGGCCAGTGAGGCGGCAGCCCAAGCTCAGCAGACTGCTGAGGCTGAGACAAACGGAACGCCATAAGCATGGAGTCCTTGACTTAGAACGAGAGTCACAGGACGACACTGCTCCAAGACATGCTTTTTGTGCCTTCGGATACGCAGGCGGATCCGACACCGGCGGAGGAAGAAAGGAGTAACCTGGCTGACCTGATGTTGAATGTGATGCGGGCGGTAATGTGGACCAATACGATGTTAACGGTGCAAATACACGAGGGCAAACAGCTGCGACAGACTCAGCAGAAAGATTCTGCAGCCTTAACAACTGCTGTTCGCGCTGCCGCCACACATCAGCAACAACAACAACAGCTGTTGAGCACCACCACCGCACGTGTCAACAGCATCGAGGCTAAGGCCTCAGCAGCGCCAGGCTGCACGACAGACACGGCGAAACAGCTCGGTGAGTGCATCGACCATGTCGTCACGATAATCGACGATCTAAGTGACTTCACCAGTCCGGCGACGATCAGCAGCACGGTGGCCGCCATCAAGACGGACATCACCAAACTGCAGTCGCAACCGGCAGCAGCTGCAAAGGCATACAAGATGCCACGCTTCAACATCGGCAAGCTCGAGGACTACAACAAGACCGACGCTTTGACATGGTGGCAAGCCTTCCTCACCGAAGCGTCCTGCCACAAGGTCCCGACCGAAGACATGACGAAGGCCATATACCTCCAACTCATTGGAGGTGCGCAGGCGTGGATGAACCACCTCGCAGTTAACAAGGGAACCACTATCGCCGAGCTCCACAAACACCTCACGTGGGGGACTTTGAACAGTTGTGGTTCACTCGCTTCATGGTCCGCAACGTTGTGAAGGCGACCATGAACGAGGTCTACACTTGCTCACAAGGAAGCATGCCAACTCGAGACTGGACGATCAAGTGGCAGAAGATAGTGACCACGCCAGGATTCGATTTGAGCTTTACAAACCAACGATCCGAGTTCTTCTCGCGATCGTGCGCAGGACTGCGGACCGCACTCGGCAACGAGTACGATTATGCCTCATTCCAATCCATTCTGGATCGTGCTAACCTGGTCATCCAAACGGACGACAAGGCCGCTAACGAGAAGCAGTCCCAGCCGCACTATGTGGCTAAGCAGGGCTATCAACGACTGACACATAACAATGTCGTGATTTCTGAGGATTCAGTTGATCTCCACGCTGCAGCAGCATCCTCGAGTGATGGAGGAATTGTCGCAGCGCTCCCGCCGAAGCATCCCAAGAGAGTTCGAAAGAAACCGGCGACACAAGCGACGACATCGACGGGAACTGGGCAGCAGCCATGGACGGCTTACAACACACCCAAGGAAGTATTTGACTTGCGTCAAAGGTACGGATATTGCCTATGGTGCAATAGTGTCACACACATTACTGCACAATGCCCGGATAAGGGCAAGGCACGTGTACCCCGTCCAGCGAACTCGGGAAACTGAGTTGCGCAAGGAGAGAGGTGACGTCTCCCCCACTCCGCCGGAACTGGTTGCCTTGCTAGCAATCGATGTCACTACCGGGGAGCATGCGTTAGTCGTTGATTCTCGTGCTACGTACGAGGATTCTGCCGCCCAGCTGGTACCACCATTAGACCAGTCGAGCCACGTGCACTTAGATTGCGTATGCGCAGCCTGTACACCGTCGGCAAGTGATCCGGTCAGCTCGCCACTAATTTCCGAGAACTCGACGGCGTGGTCAAGACTTGAGGAGCTTGACCCGCTCACGAGAGAGGACTTCGCTTGGATGCCTCTACCCTCAACCGGAACCTTGCCAAGGCCGCATTGCAAAGCCTTAATGGCAGATTTACGCTCCTATTTGCACGCTACAGTACCAGCTCCGTTGACGGACGACGGGGTAGCGGTTGTCAACCTCCGCTCCTATCTTGCGAAGATCGACCGCAAGTACTCCACCCAAAAGTACGCCGAAACCGACGCGCCTTTGCTCTATATCCGCATTGAAATCGGAAAGGCAACCTGTAGTGCCTTGATTGATTGCGGAGCGTCTCGCAACTTTATTAGTCAAGCCTTTATGGCCCGCGCAGGCCTTGGCCCGCGCGTTCGAAGRAAGACGCAACCTACGCAAGTTACACTCGCGGACGGCCGCACGCAAAAGTCAATTGACCGATGCGTCGACGACGTTCTGGTATACTTTGCACCACTTGCGTGCGAGCCGGTGTCTTTTGACATCCTCGACACCAAGTTCGACATCATTCTAGGCATGTCTTGGTTGCGTAGCGCCGATCATCCGGTGAACTTTCACGACCGGACCGTTCACATCCGTGATCGGAACGGAGTGTTAGTCCCATGTAYGGTCGCGACCCCTCACACTTCGATTGCTTGTTACGTGGTTTCCGTTGCGAGAATTCACGACGCCAGAGCTCAGAATGACGTCGAGGAGATGGGCCTTGTATTCTTGCATGCTCTCCCCTCGCCGGACGGACCAGCCGCGTCACCACCGGACCCGCGCATTTCTCACCTCTTGGACGAGTATAGAGACGTCTTCGAGGCTCCCACCGGAGCGGTTCCGGATCGGCCCATACGTCACGGGATCACTCTCGAGGCTGGTGTCGTCCCTCCGCGTGGATGTATTTACCGCATGAGCGAAGAGGAACTCGAGGTGCTTCACGCACAACTCGATGACCTTCTCGACAAGGGTTGGATTCCCACTAGTTGTTCGCTGTACGATGCCCCTGTTCTCTTCGTCCGGAAGAAGAACAAAGATCTACGGTTATGCATCGATTATCGAAAACTTAACGCACAAACCGTAAAGAACGCTGGCCCTCTCCCTCGGATTGATGATTTCCTTGAGCAGTTAGGCGGCGCGACGTACTTCTCGAAGTTGGACTTGAAGTTGGGCTACCACCAGATTGAAATTCAGCCTCAAGATCGGTACAAGACCGCGTTCAAGACGCGGTACGGGCATTTTGAGTGGGTTGTCATGCCATTTGGCCTCACCAATGCCCCCGCGACTTTCCAAGCAGCTATGACGATTGAGTTTCGCGACTTGCTCGATCGCAGCGTCCTCATTTACCTCAATGACATCTTGGTTTATAGTAGGACGTTGGACGAGCACATCGTACACCTTCGCGCTGTTTTGGATCGTTTGCGACTGGCCAAGTACAAAGCGAATCTCGACAAGTGCGAGTTCGCCAAGCAGGAGCTTGAGTACCTGGGTCATTTTGTCACACCGAAAGGCATTCGTCCCTTAGCGAACAAGATCCAAGTCATCGTGGATTGGCCGGAACCCCGTTGCACGACGGGCGTACGCTCTTTCATGGGTTTGGCTTGATATTATCAGCGATTCGTCGAGTCATACTCAAAAGTGGGCGCTCCTCTGTCGAGACTTCAGTCCCCAAAGGTGCCCTTCGAGTTCGACGACGCAGCCCGTGGCGCGTTCACTACGTTGAAGCCAGCGATGCAAGCCGCACCTGCCCTCCGTATATACGACCCCACCCTTCCCGCCCAAATGACTACGGACGCTTCGGGATACGGTATTGGTGCGGTGTTGGAGTGTCACGAGGACGGTTGGCATCCGGTCGAGTACTTCTCCCAAAAGGTGCCTCTCGTCAACACTCTCGACGACGCTAGGAAGAAAGAGTTACTAGCGTTCGTCACCGTTCTCAAACGGTGGCGCCACTTTCTTCTCTGTCGTCGGCGTTTTAAATGGAATACGGACAACAATCCGTTGACCTTTTATAAAACGCAGGATACGGTCACTAGTACGATCGGTCGATGGATGTATTACATCGACCAGTTCGAYTTTGACCCGTGCYACATTCCYGGTCCCGCCAATCGAGCTGCGGACGCCCTCTCACGACGGCCCGACTTTTGCGCCATTGTGACCACGACATTCGACCTCGATGACGATCTGCAGCCGCACTTCGTCAAAGGCTACAAGTCAGATCGGACTTACTCGGCGCTTTACGCAGAGCTTTCATCGGAGCACCTGTCGGCTAGTCATTATCGGATTTTCGACGGGTTCCTTCTCCTTCACACGAGAGGAAAGGACTTGTTAGTTGTGCCCCAAGATCGCATCTTACGGACTCGTCTTCTCAGCGAATTCCACGACGCACAACTTTCGGCACACCTTGGCGTGAACCGCACATTAGCACGCCTCCGCCAGCGTTTTCACTGGTCAGACGTCCTTCACGACGTCACGAGGTACATTGAGTCATGTGCAGTTTGCCACCGTAACAAGGGTCGATCTCGAGTCCCCTTCGGCGAACTGAAACCATTGTCGATTCCCCGGGCACCGCGCCTCTCCATTGCTATGGACGTGACAGGCCCGTTCCCCCGCGATCGCCTCGGCCATGACGGTATTCTCACGGTTGTTGACCGTTTGAGCAAGTATGCTCGCTTTCTTCCTTGCAAGTATCATGCTGCAGCACCTGAGCTCGCACGACTCTTGCACACCGGTTGGATTACCAACCAGGGTGTTCCGGAAGACATAGTGAGCGACCGAGATACTCGCTTCATGTCGGCCTTTTGGACTTCCCTCATGGCCGAGTCCGGCACGACAATGAAGTCGAGCTCGGCTCGGCACCCGCAGACGGATGGCCAGACGGAGCGAGCACACCAGACTGCTCAGATGATGTAGCGTACGCTCATCCGTCCCGACCAGAAAGATTGGGTTGACCGGCTTCCCGACATCGAGTTCGCCTACAACACTTCGGTGCACCCGGCGATCTGCGTCACACCATTCGAGCTACATCATGGTGGAGAGAAAGCACGGATCTTCGCTGATCTCCTTTTGCCACAGGCTGCCGACATAGACGTCCCTTGCTCTCCCGCTTCTGTCAGGAAGTATCGGGACTTGCTGATCAAAGCCCGCGCCAATATGCAAAAGGCTCAGATCCGCATGTAGCAGCAGGCTAACCGACGTCGACTTCCATGTCCTTTCCGCGAGGGAGACCTTGTTTGGGTCCTCTCCGAGGAATTTGTGCTTGAACAGGACGTTTCGTGCAAACTCCTTCCGAAATGGTTCGGACCATGGGAAGTCACTTCTGTCGTTGGAGACGACCCCGCAGGTCCTTCCTTGGTGGTCAACATTCCTCCGCACCTCCCAGTGCACCAGGTCTTCCACGCGTCGAAGCTGGCCATCTACACGCCACCTCCCGCTGACGAGTTTTCCGGCCGTCGATCACAGGATCCGCCTTCTATGGACGGACATCACGAAGTTGACCGAGTCATCACGCACCGCAAGTATGGCAACAAGCCAAGGCAGTACAAAGTCACATTCAAGCAATGTGCGCCTGATGACACTCGGTGGATCTCTAGTCCAGACTTGCAGACTTCTGCACCCCTTCTCTTCGCCGACTATGAGAAGCGACGCCTTGCCAAGGAAGCAGCTGTCCCGCCCGACCCGGCCCGGTATCGGACAGACAACTCCGCCCTCGCAGGTAGCTCGGTCTTTTAAGAGGGGCAGTGTGTTACATCTTCAACGCCACACGGGTCCTACCGGACCCAACTTAGGGCTAGAGGGACAGAGCAGGGCCTAAAGGCCCAAACTTGGGGTACAGAAGGCCGTAAAGGCCTTAGTTTTGGACCAGACCCGACGGGCAGGCCCAAACGACATTACCGTTTGGGCTTGGCGGCGCTTTTGAGGCTGTCGCCCGCCGGTGTGATCTGAACCGACGATCTCGACGGTTCAGGTCACGGCCAGTCCTCGCAGCATTGAGGCCGGCCTCCTGCCCACCGGTACTAAAGACCGGTCTGCCCTCATTCTGGGCATCGAGCAACTAGACACTGCCAGAGCACCAGTTCGTTTCGGTTCTACTGCAGGAGCGCAGCGCTATTCTTAGCGCAGCATAGAGGAGCAGCAGCCGCAGCGAGCGAGGAGCCAGCCAACGGACAGCCATAGCTGACCTCAGTGCCAGGCAGTTGCAGCAGACCAGGTACTCGGTGGTGAGGTTGTCTCCTCCCCCCACGGTCCCTGGTTCCTCTCCTCCTCACCTCTCTCCTCCGCTGTTCTCTTCTTCTTCTTCTCCATCTCTCCCTCTTCTCCTCCATCTCTTCTTCTTCTTCAGACTTCTTCGTCATCTTCTTTAGACTGGAGACTTGTGTTGCATACTTCAATGAGTATGGGCAGAACCAAAGATCAACCAATATAGGATGAGCATTTATGCAGCGGAAGTCTGATAACGAACTGACTCACATAAACTGACTCACATAAACTGACTCACATAAACTGACTCACACCAACTGACTTACATGGCATCACTCCACACACATACAATCATGAGATGGTGGGGTCTGGGTCATTCATAGACGATACCCAGATCCCGTACACACATACACAGATGAAAGGTGGGAGGAGAGACGAAGGAGGTGGGAGGTAGATCACACCGATAGGTCACAAAGATAGAGTCTGATAGGTCTCCGAAATGGTAGTCCAAAATGTCATATAACAAGATCAAAATGTCGAGGACCAAAGGTCACCAATGTCGGAGATAACAGRGTCCAGATGTAACCGGTGTCCAACTGTGATGCAGCCGAGTATCAACCTCAACAATCTCCAAGCCTCCAATYAGGTAAGTACCACAGTCTCGTATCACCGAAATCCAACTCTGATCTCTGTCCAACTGGATAGTCTCCAATCTAAAGAAGAAGAAGAAGAAGAAGAAGAAGAAGAAGGAGGAAGAGGAGAGAGAGAGAGAGAGGGGACTGGCGAGGGAGAGGAGGAGAGACCCTCCAAGCTCCCGATACCTCAGGCGGTAAGAACCGCCGTGCAAGCTCAGTCGCCCGCTGCTGCTCCGCTCGCTGCTGCGCTATGCTGCGCTCCTGCTTCAGCCCCTGCGCTAAGTTTAGCGCATCAAAACAGTGCCCTAGCACTGACCATGCCGTGCCGGTAGAGTTCTGGTAGGTCGATCCCACTACTGAGGCGGATACCGGTACWTATACCGGTGGGCAATGGTCTGGCCTCAATGCTGCGAGGCCAGGCCAGACCCTGAACCGTCCAGATGGACGGTTCAGCCTCAATCGGCGGGCGGCAGCTTCAAGAGCGCCGCCAGGCCCAAACGAAGTGTCGTTTGGGCCTACCCGATGGGTGATAGTCCAAAATCAGGCCTTTAGGGCCTGTAAACCCCAAAGGTCGGGCCTTTAGGCCYTGGTGTGTCCCTCCGGCCCTAAGTCGGGTCCGGTAGGACCCGTGTGAGTCGAAGATGTAACACTCTCCCCCTCTTAAAAGTTCGAGCTACCTGCGAGGGCGAAGTTGTCTGTCCGATACCGAGGTGGGTCGGGCGGGATGAGCTGCGTCCTTAGCAAGGCGTCGCTTCTCATAGTCTGCGAAGATGAGGGGTGCAGAAGTCTGCAAATCTTCACTGG